GCGGGCACAGCCTGTCCTGCTGCCCTCTCCCCCTGCCCCTGCAGCAGCCCRAGGCAGMATTCCCYRAATCCTTTTCCCCAAATCCTYTTCTTCCTTGTCCCCCRTCCCTCCGCCTTTCTTCATCTGCAGCAGAGGGAGCATTTGCTCCATCCAAGGGTTTTCCCGGGATTCCTGGTTAGTGGGTGTGTCCATACACTTGAGGGGGTGGTTATCTTTCACCAACGCTTTGTGCTCAGGTGAGGTGCAGTGGCATTGCCGGAATAAACGTCTCTGCCTTCCCTTTTTGGGAATTRTGTGTTGTCTCCATCCCTAGCAGCTGAGCTGCTGATCCCTTTAAAGATGTGTTCCCATGGTCAGGCCTTGCCACTGCTGCGATTCAGGAGCTTTCCTCGTCAGTTTTATTCTCTGGAGTAACTACCAAACGGCACAGCTGGAGTTTTTGTATTTTTCCTGCTTTTCCTGCCGTAACTGAGGGTGTAAATGCAGCAATGGAAAGAAGGAAGCGTGTGGCTAATGCCAGACTGGTACAGGCAGCAGAGGTGCCTCACTCAAGGGAGACAAACTTTGGAAAACAGGACAGAATGGAATTACTGGAGTCTGTACCTGCTCACCATCCTCCTGCTGCTCTCCAGGCCCTTCTGGCTGAAATTCCCTCCTGGATGGGGGTGTAGTGCCCAGTGCCTGCCTCTTCCCTGCCCAGCCACTGGGTTTGACTTTCCYAGTTTCTGCTGTTCCCTCCTCCTGTCTGCCAAGGCTTATTCCTGATGTCACTTTTACCGACTGAGGAGAGTGTGTGGAAGAGGTGAGTGTCCTGATCAGGAAAATATTCCCTTTATTTCATAGTGGAGGACAGGAGAAGGCTTTAAGGAGCACAGTCTCCTTCCCAAGTGCCGTGTCAAATCTCCCCCTCATTCCTAGGGCTGTCCCTACACGTTATGGGGTTAARGAAACTCTACTGGAGTCAGTGAGTTCTGGGGCTGCTGCTGCTTGGGATCAGCATTAAAACCCACAATGTCCCTGTGGGAAGCAGCAACAGCTTCTGCCAGGATTCCAACAGCTTCCATGCTGTGGGAGCACTCTCCTGGCTCTGAGCAGCTCCTGGGAGTCAGGCTCAGATCTGGGGAGCTGTGGCAGCTCCAGAGGTTTTTCCAAGATACCTGTGAGTATCCCTTGCTCCCCAAACCTTCCTGATTGCTGGCTGCTTCCCTGGGGATGCGGTGGGGGGAGAGACCCTTCCTGCAGGGAGGGGAACAGGCAGATRTGCAGCCCCTAGCCCATGCCACCCTTTTAATGTCACTTCCAGCCTTTCAGTATTTTCCTGCCGGCAATTTACTGGGATTGGCTTCCTTGTGCTGGGAGAGGTGGCTGGGTGCATCTGGGAGATGCTCCAGAGGGAATGTGCCTTTCCTGCTGGAACTTCTGAGGGAACACTGAGAGCAGGGATCAGGATCATCCCYCACAGACGCACCCGTGGATGGAGCAAACCCAAGGAGCCCTTGTTGAATGCAAACGTGGGTTTTAATGAGCGGGCTCGGCGGGTTCCATTGTCCTGAGGCCTCTTCCTTCAGGATTCTGTCACAGGCAGCAGGCTGCTCCTCACTCCGGCCTGCTCTTGTAGTCCTGCACGTGGGCCAGGACCCAGGCTGTGGGCAGCAGGAAGGAGGAGAACATCATGGCCAGGGCGATGGCTTGCTCCTGMGGGGGACAAGGAGTGACAATCAGCGGGATGGCTGTGCCACGGCACATGGGGCTCCGGGATAGCYACACCGGTATTGTCCCACACCGCACACCCAGCTCATTTCCCAGTGCTATTCCCAGCTCTGGGGCTGGGGAGGGAGTTTTGGGAGGCAGAGCTGTTCCCGGGATTGAGCTGGTGATCTCCAGGCTCTTTGTTTCTAGGGAGCAGTGCGTGACCTTGAGGCCACAGCCGGGGCCTGCTGCGTTCCTGACTTTCAGATGACTTTGGGATGGGAATYGCAGCCGGGAGCAGCCCCTCGTTTCCCCAGTGTGCTGGACCAGCCTAAAATCCCGGCGCTGGCACCTTTCTTTAATTGATTTGCCTGGAAAAAAGCCTCTCCAGGCTGCTGCAGCTGCTTTGTTGCAGACCTTGGAAAGGCAGCAGAGGGAAAACCCCCCCAAATGAGGGGCCGGAGGGGGAACCAGGCAGGATTTTGGTGGAAAGCTCCTTTTCCCCAGCTTGTTTCACCCAGCCCAGGAGGGTTTGGCTTGGGGGGGACTGTCCCCACAGCGGGAGTGGCARAGGGACTTTGGGCTCTGCAGTGACAGCAGCTCCTGTGCTTGCCCTTGGGGATRCCCCTTTGGGGTGACTATCCCAGGACAGGGGGATAGAGCCTGGGTCTGTCCCTGAGGGACCACCGGTGTCACTGCTGCCCCTTTCACTGGGCTGCAGGGGACCCCCAAACCCCAAAGTTTAAAAAAGGGGCCAAAAGGACAAAATCAAAGGGAATCAGGAGCCAGAGGTGGGGAGCAGGGCATGGACCCCATGGTGGTGTGGGTTGGAGCCCAGAGGCACATTCCTCCTTTTCTTCCCCCTCCCCTTTTGCTTCCACTCTCTTCCAAAATAACTTGGCCCTGACATGGAGGTTTGGGCCCCTCCGACCGGGCTGTTCCCACTTTCCCAGAGCCCCAGGATACTCACGGCAGGAGAGAGGGGGTGCTCGGGGGGGAGGGAGCGGACCTGTGCCCGAGGCACCCGGGCAATCCGGAGTGYGGCTGCCAGGAGCTGGGAGCCCCTCTGGAAACCCCTCATGGCGCTGGCAGAGYGATCCCGCTGCTCCTCGCTCTGCAGCTGCCCCGCTTGTCACTGTCACCGCTGCCACCACACCCCTGCCGCCCCTGGGCATGGCTCCAGGGGCACGRGGAGGAACAGCCTGACGCGGCAAGATGTTCCCAAATTGCTCTCTGCTTCGTTTTTCTTCACTTAATTGCTTTGGGATTTTTTTTTCCCTGCAGCTCTGCCCAGGACTCTGAGACCAAAACCTGTCCCCAGCCAGCTCAGGGGAACATTGCAATGCTCTGCTGGAGAGCAGACACCTCTTGGAGGGGCCTTGTCCCTTGGAGCAGAACTCTTCCTTTGGGGCAGAACTCTTCCTTTGGGGCAGAACTCCTCTCTCCTTGGACCCCCTCTTCTGTTGTTTCTCTAAGTTTTGTAGCACTCAAAATACCATTCAGTGAGAAAGGACTTTCTGGAAAAGGCTGTTTCCAAATTCCTCTGATCAAGGGAAGGAAGTGGGGTGCATGCCACTGGGAAGGCGCTGCTGGAGGGGGATCCAGTGCCCCGGAATCCCTATGGATGCCCAGCTGCTCTCCAGGTGATTATTCCTATCCCTGCCACAGGCTCAGCCTGCTGGTTGTGAGGAACAAACCAAAGGGGAAGTGAATCCCGCTGGGGCAGGATACCAGGATYGCAGGATTTACTCCTGGAATAGCAAAGGAGTAGAGCTGGGATCAAATCTTAATGCTCAGGCCCTGAAGCATCCCTGGGGCATTGACAGCTGCAGGACTGACCCAGCCAGGCTCCATGGGGGGTTTCCCATGGATTTACAGTGGAGGACAGATGTGTTATGCCAGGCCTGTAAGGGCAATAAAATAATTTCTGTGAGCACAGGCGCGGTGCTTGGCTGCAGCTCCATCCCTGACCCACCGGTATGGCACCAGCCTGCCAAAGCCAAAGTCCAGATGGAATTTTTTTCCTCCCTGGAAACAAGCAAGGGGAAGGGCCAGAGCGTGGCTGGGGACAGGGGAGGTCAGCGCGGTGTGCTGCTAACCCGGYTCTCTGCCAGCGGCTTTGGGATTAGAAATCACCCGACTCACTTTTGCACTTTCAGTTCCTCCTTCCCAGGCACAGGGCAGCCACAGGACTGCCACGCTCCCACCGTGGGCTCTGAGCTCATCTGGACAAACACCTGCGTGTCCAGGATAATTTTTCTAACTTTTTTTTTTTTT